CGCTGCGTGTGCTTAATTTATCGTTTATCTCTTCGTGGACAACAGGGAGCAGCCTGAGCTGGTGGCCGTGTGCGAGGAGCGCGGCATCGAGCTCGGCTGAGCCTCTCCAGCCCCGGCCGGGCGGCAAGGGCGCGGGGCCCGGCGGGACCGCCGCGCGAGCAAGGCAGAGAGCAACAGACCCTGCGGCTGCGGAGCACGACGCACAGCGGCGGTGGGGGGGGGGTGTCTGCGTCTCTCGGCGCGCTTCGGCCGCTTGGGACAAGAGCGTCGGAGCGGGCAAGAGGGCGGGGGAGGGGGAAGTGGGGTCAGGGTCTGGTTGGGCGAAAGACACACGGGGGAATAGATGATGCAGACCGGGGACATCGATGGCCATTCGGATTGGCGTGTTGCACGTTATAGTGCACGTGTGACTGTGAGCACCGCCGCGGGGGGTCCGGGGAAAGCGGTTTGGGGAGGGGTGTCGATTTGCACAAACGGGACACCTGAATCTTTTGTTTTAGTCAGCTAGCTTACGCTTTATGGCGCATCCACTGGGCCGTCTGGGCGCTGGGGCCGCGCTCTCCCCACTCCCGGTCTCAATCCCCACAGACCCCACCATCCCGTCGGACGGGCCTGCGTAGACAGTAAAACACGTAACCACACTCAGAGCTCCACACTAGCCGGTATAGGCGAGCCCCGGAGGCCTCACCGTCACCGCTCGCGGCGGAGCCGAGAGAGAGATTTTTATTAACCAAACAACTCTAACACTCACACGTTTGTTGTTGTTGTCGGAGCCGACGGCGGAGCCACGGGCCGGTGCGACCTTTTGGGGGCCCATGAGCTCGCCGGGACGACGCCGATGGCTCGGCGCGCCTCTTCCCGCCAGCGTTAAACGGCCTACACACAGGGGCGAGGGGGGGGGAGACGGAACTGAGCCCTAGGTTCGTGATCCCGTCGCCGGCAGGTCGCCGGCAAGGGCTGGGACAGGGGCGGCAAGCGACGGGCGGGTCCGCGACCTTTTGAGCGCCCATGAGTTGTTGTAGAGATTTCACGTTGTAGAGCGCCTCTACATCGCTCTACAACGGAGGCAGTTCGTCACGCGGTGGATGTAGAGCTCTACAGCTCTACATTGCTCTACAGCGCTCCAGAGCGCTCTACATCTCTACAGCTCTACAGCGCTCTACACTCTACATCCTCTACACCCTCCCTCAGCATCGGCGTCGCCGCGCGAGCGGCGCCGCCACTGCGCTTGTGAGTCCGATGCGCGAACGAGTCTTATCGCGAGTAGAGTCGTTACGCGTTTTCCTTCACACTTGTTTTATTTTCAGAAGCGTCATTGCGGACGTCTTACTCTGTACGCGAGGTCTCAGAGGCGCACACGCCCTGTCCCAGCTCCCCCACTCCTCACACTGGGTTTGCAGTGCGCGGCCTCGCCACCTCCCTACCAGGGCAAACCCCCTCTCTCCCCCTAGGTGCTGCACTTGACGTCCATAGAAGGCGCGCGGCAGAGGCGGGAGGGAGGCGGGGAGAATCTAGCTCGCTCTGGCAGGGAGGCAAGGGTGTGACAGAGTGCTTGGGTGAGAACAGGCGGAGTGTGTGTGCCTGTAAGGTACGCGATTGGGAGAGCACTTGTGACGAGGCACGGTTAGGCGAGTGGCGGGGATACTCTAGGAATGCGACCCGCACATTCTAAAAAAAATTGTTCCAGTCTTAGCAAGCAAAAAGGAGCACACACGACTTAGCAAGTCCGCACCAGCGACTGCCACTTCTTTCCCCGCTTCTTTCTTTCTGACGCAGTTTGTGTGGTCTGCAGGACAGTTTGTCGGAGCTCTCTTTCCATGAAAAGTGTACACTGCTTCCCCGCGGCATGGGCACTGTACGGAATGCTTCCCCGCGGCATGGACACTGTACGGAAATATACGTACGTGGGCTGGCTACTTGCCGGGTCGCTCGCCAGCCGAGGGCCGCGCATGCCTGATATCGCCGATGCCAGAGCGCCACCTCTTCACGCGACGGCGGCGAGGTGGAGCCTCCCTCGCCACTGGCACCCTAGCTGGCACCGGCACCGGCGTGGCCAAGAGGCGCGGCGTGCTCTCACTGCTGTGCCTCCCACAGGGCGAGGTAGGTGCCGCCCAGCTCGAGCAGCTCCTCGTGCGACCCTTGTTCGATGACCGCGCCCTTGCGCAGCACGGCGATCTTGTCCGCGTTCTTGATTGTCGAGAGGCGGTGTGCAATGGTGACCGTCGTCCGCTTGTGCTGCGACACGATACTGTCCAGCGCCGCCTGCACCACCCGCTCGCTCTCATTGTCCAGCGCCGACGTCGCCTCGTCCAGCAGCAGCACCGCCGGCTTGCGAACAATGGCGCGAGCAATCGCCACCCGCTGCTTCTGGCCGCCCGAAAGCATGCCTCCGCGGAGACCCACCTGCGTGGCGTAGCCGTCGGGCAGGCTGTCCATCACAAAGCCGTGCGCGTTCGCCGCCCGCGCCGCCTCCTCGATCTCGTCTTGCGAGGCGCCCTCCTTGCCGTAGCCAATGTTCTCCGCGACGGTGCCCTCGAAGAGCACCGGCTCCTGCCCCACCAGCCCAAGCTGGGAGCGGAGCCAGCGCAGGTTGAGCGTGCGGATGTCGACACCGTCGAGGGTGATCGCGCCGCGCTGCGGGTCGTAGAAGCGCTCGAGCAGCGCGACGAGAGTCGACTTGCCGCTGCCGGACGGGCCGCACAGCGCCACCGTCTGCCCCGCGCCGA